TGAACCTTACCAGCGATCGCTATAGAGCAGCCCTGACAGCCAGGAACCTGGTCGGCACGTCCGACGCCGCGGTGCTCACCATCCCTGCCTCTGACTTCCCAGGTCGGTGTCCAAGGCCTGGCTCCTGAGGGAGGGCTCGGGGAGGCCGCCTGGAGGATGGACGCACTCCGACCACCCTCACGGCGGCGCTGCTCGTGCTCCATCGTTGCCACCTGCTCAGTCAGGCAGGCGCTGGTTATGTGCCTCCCTCGTTCTTCAATGTCACTTTAAGGTTCTGGGGACCTGAGGTGCATACGACTTAAACGTACTGTTTAACGGTAGCTTTGGAAGAAGAAACATTGTAATTGACCTACACAGAACATCTGAAGAATTTGGGAAAGGAAGCATTTAGTAGAGGGCGTGTGAATGATAATGAAGTGCTTTTATTCATGGAAATGCATGTTAGTGTTATATGCTACAAAAAGGACAGCAAGATAGTTTGTGTGGTTATGGAAATGAATGTAAAATACTGATATTTAAGTTTTTAAATGTTCACTTGTCAACGTGGTGTTCGCCTTGTGTTCTGAAGCTACTCGCCCCGTCAGGGATCTGAGAGCGTTTCCCAAGGACAACCGGCTGTGGGTGGAGTGGACCGCCCCCCGCGAGCCCGTGAGCAAGTACATCCTAGAGTGGTGCGTGCTGTCGGACAAGGCGCCCTGCGTGCCCGACTGGCAGCAGGAGGACGGCGCCGTGCACCGCACCCACCTCACAGGTACCTGGGACCTCAGCCCGGCTCCTCCCTGCTCTCTGCCCGAGAGGGCAGCCCTGGGAGGCGGCCAGTGCTCAGCTCCAGCCAGGCGTCTGGCTCACTAGGTGCGGTCAGCCTCCAGGCCGCACGGTGGACAGAGGACAGACGGCCTTCTGCCGTCCCCAGAGCCACCTAGTCACAGACGGTGCCCACAGGGCTGTAAGGCGGAGAGAAGCCAAGGCCGCCTGGCCCTGCTGCTCCTGGGTGTGTGCTCCCTGCTCCTTGCTCCCTGGTGTGTGCTCCCTGCCCTGGTGTGTGCTCCCTGCCCTGGTGTGTGCCCCCTGCTCCCGGTGTGTGCTCCCTGCTCCCGGTGTGTGCTCCCTGCTCCCGGTGTGTGCTCCCTCCTCCCGGGTGTGTGCTCCCTTTTCAGTGCCACAAACACTCCCTCTCGTACTGTGGACGGCCGAGTGCAGATAACGGCGCGCTGTGCTGGTCACTAGGTGGCTGAGCAGCAGCCACCTTGTCGGGGTGTTAAAGATGGCCGAGTCGGGATCACTTCTCCTTGTAACTGGGGTTACTTTCTGGGGAAATGACCCAGTTCTCCTTCCTGAGTCACCTGACCAAGTGGGCCTGGCTCGGGGGCAGCAGGTTCCCCAGGCAGACC